ATGTAGGTGATGGGGAGGAAGGCAGCAAATCACACTGCCACGTGTGTTCCTATGCAACAATTTTGCATGTTCTTCACATGTACCCCAAAACCTAAAATGCAATAAAATAAATAAATGGGGGGAAAAAAAGGCAAAAAAAAAAATTAACTCTAGATGGATTAAAGATTTAAACATGAGGCCTAACACCATAAAAACTCTAGAAGAAAACCTAGGCAATGCCATCCAGGACATAGGCCTGGGCAAGGACCTCATGACTAAAACACCAAAAGCAATGGCAACAAAAGCCAAAATAGACAAATGGGATCTAATTAAACTTAAGAGCTTCGGCACTGCAAGAGAAACTATCAATAGAGTGAACCGGCAACCAACAGAATGGGAAAAAATTTTGCAATCTACCCATCTGAAAATATCCAGAATATCCAGAATCTATGGAGTTAGATCTCCAGGCTAATATCCAGAATCTATGGAGAACTTAAACAAATTTATAAGAAAAAAACATCAAAAAGTAGGCAAAGGACATGAATAGACATTTTTCAAAAGAAGACATTCATGCAGCCAACAACCATATGAAAAATGCTCATCATCACTGGCCATTAGAGAAACGCAAATCAAAACCACATTGAGATACCACCTCATGCCAGTTAAAGTGGCAATCATTAAAATAATCAGGAGAAAACAGATGCAGGAGAGGATGTGGAGAAATAGGAATGCTTTTACACTGTTGGTGGGAATGTAAATTAATTTAACCATTGTGGAAGATAGTTATGTCTTTTCTTCTGCTACCTTTGCAGTTAGTTTATTCTTCCTTTTCTACTTCTTCTTGCTATAATGTTACATGATTAATTTTAGGTCTTTTCAACTTTCTGATGTTGACATTTGGTACTACAAAATTTCTTCTTAATACTTCTTTTCTCACAGACTAAAGATTTTGGCATGGTTATCTGTTTCCATTAATTTCAATTTTTTTGTGTTCTTAATTTCATAGCTTACCCAGTGTAATTGTGTGGTTGTAAGACATCTTGATATTGATTTCTATTTTTATTTTACTGAGGTCCAAGATTATGGTTGGTATAATTTTGATTTTCTTTTTAATTTATTGAGGCTTTCCTTGCGGCTCAGCAAGTTGTTGATCTTAGAATATGTTCCATGTGTAGATGAGAAAAATGTATATTCTGTGGTTAGTGAATACAATACTTTGTAGATGTGTGTTGTGTCCAATTGGCCAAGTGTCAAATTTAAGTCCAGAATTTCTTTGTTAGTTTTCTACCTTGATGATCTGTCTAATGCTGTCAGTGGAGTGTTGATGTCACCCACTATTATTATGTGTCTATTTAAGTCTTTTTGTTTGTCAAGAAGTATCTGTTTTACAAATCTGTGTCCTCCAATGTTGAGCGCACATAGGTTTAGGATAGTTAAGACTTCTTTTCAATTGAGTTCTTTATTATTATGTAATGTCCTTGTTTTCCCGTTTTTACCCTTGTTGGCTTAGAGTCTGTTTTATCTGACATAATAATAGTGACCCTGCTGTTTTTCATTTTGCATTTTCATGATAGATTTTTCTCCAACCCATTGCTTTGAGCCTATGGATGTAATTACATGTGAGATAGATCTCTTGAAGACAGCAGACCAGATGGGTCTTGTATTTTTATCTAACTTACCACTCTGTACTTTTTAAGTGGATAGCTTAGACTGTTGGACAATATTGGTTTGTGACGTTTTTGGTCCTAGTTGTACCCCTGTATCAATATTCGAAAAAGTTTCTTGTATTAATCCCTCAAATATGTTTTCCAGGTTGTTTGCTTTTTCTCCTGCTCTTAGGAATGCCAAAAATTCATAAAAATATGAAATGTTTTACAAATTTGCATGTCATCTTTGCACAGGGGCCATGCTAATCTCCTCTGTATCATTCCAATTTTATTATATGTGGTACCAAAGTGAGCATGAGTGACAGTGTTTTTAAATTGAATAAACTGAGTTTAAAACAGTTGTGGACATGACAAAAACAGCCAGTACTTGTTAAAGGAAATCTCAACCCAAGGGTGTGCTGACAATTCCCATGTATGTAATCACTTTGCTGTGTTGTTTCCCACAATCAAAAACTCACACATGTAATTTGTGAGTTTTTTAATTTTTAAAATAAATTGTATTTTTTATGAATTTAGGGTACAAGTGCAGTTGTTTTACATTGATATATTACACAGTCATGAAGCCTGGGCCTTTAGTGTACCTCTCACCTGAATAGTGTACATTATACCCAATAGTAGTATTTCATTAATCACTCCTACCTATCTTCCCATTGTCTGGACTCTCCGATGTCTATTATTCCCTTCTGTATTTCCACATGTACCCACTGTTTAGCCCCCAGTTATAAGTGAGAACATGCAGTCTTTGACTTTCTAAGTAAAAAAAACAAAAAATAAATTTAAAACACACAGATTACATGTGTGGGTTTTGACTATATCTTGTCTATTGTTTGCATCCCAAAAACACAACAGTTGAAGGAATCAATTTACCATCTGATAGTAGTGGGGAAGTCCTGGCTCTTCTATTAATAACACTAATGGTGCAATGGTGCATTTTGCCCCCTCTGACCAAGACCATATATGGAATCTTCTTCTTTCTTTCTGACCTTATTTTCCTCCTTCCAGAAACCAGGAATCTATATCTGCCTGACTCCACCAAACATGTGGAAAAATGAGTGAGTAAATTCTTTAGCTTTCCCTTAGAGAGAGCTGTGTACTATACAGTAGTCTCCTCTTAGATACAAGGGATGTGTACCAAGATCCCCAGTGGGCGCCTGAAACTGTGGTTTCAGGCAAATCCTATATATGCTATGTTTTTTCCTACACATATCCATGATAACATTTAATGTATAAATCAAGCACATTAAGAGATTAATGACAATAACTAATAATAAAATAAAACAATTATAATATACTATAATAAAAGTTATGTAAATGCAACTTTTCTGTCTCTCAAAATATATTATTATACTGTGCTTACCCTTATTCCACTTGTGGTCTTCTTTCTTGCTAAGAGAAATTTTAAAAGGCCTAAATAAATAAAAAGATATCCCTAGTTCATGGATTGAACAATTGTGCATTTTAGCAGAAAGCAAGGAGTATTTTAAGATTGATGGCTAAGCAGAGAGTAAGCCCCGAAGGAAAAGCAAAAAAGTCCTTTGTTTATTTTGTGCCTTAGGAGAGGTACTCCATGGGCATGGTTAGGTGGAGATTTTAGTGTAAAAAGGAAGTAGCCTCTAGCAGAGGCAGCAAATTACCTGCCACAGTGAGTCCTTGGGTTGGGATGATGTCATCTGGAATGTGGGATTTGGACACATTTTAAAGTGAGTAACTACTCAAGTTAATGCGGATCTCCAAATTGCAAACCAGTGAGAGTGCCCAAGCCAGCGGTACAAAGCCAACGGTCAACAGAATGGCATGCAGCTGCACATGACAGGGCTTTTGTTTTTTGGAGTAAGCTTAGTTTTAAATGGGTCATACTTCAAATGAGCAACTACCTGGCTGTGGAGTGATCTATGGCTAATGAGCCATTGCTCCAAACTTTAGCCTTTGTAGGATGAAAACAAGATAAAACATTTGTAAAGATATGTTAAGATCTAAAGGAAAAGAGAAATTGACTTAGCAGTTTCATTATAGGCAAGAATTTGAAAAGGAGTTCTTTGAGGAGACCAGTATGTCTCTCAGGTAAACTGGTTATCAGGGACCTTTCAAGTAAAAGAATATTCTATTTAATGTCTTTTTTAGGAGCCCAGAATTGTGCATTTTAAGAAGTGAAAAATAATGAGATCACATGGACACAGGGAGGGGAACATCACACGCCAGGGCCTGTTGGGGGTTGGGGGAATAAGGGAGGGATAGCATTAGAAGAAATATCTAATGTAGATGATGGGTTGATGGGTACAGCAAACCACCATGACATGTGTATACCTATGTAACAAACCTGCATGTTCTGCACATGTATCCCAGAACTTAAAGCATAATTTTAAAAAGTGAAATATGTGTCTTGCTTACTACCAGTAATATATGCAAAATTGAAGGGAACAAGGAATGTCCTACAAAGGCCTTTTTATTTTTTCTGGCCTTAGTGTACAGAGACATGTGTGATTTTGATTTATATTTTGAGCATCTCTGAGACAAGAGATTCCCAGAGTCTTTTTTATTTTTTTAATCTTTAAGGAGATCATTTTTAGGTAATGGCCACATAGTTAATAATTAATGTGAAAACAAGGTCATTTGTTGACCAGGGCACCTGGTGCTAAAATGGCTGCCAAGTGTTTGGCCATGTGTCTTTTTTTTTAGGCCCCATTATTTATTAGGCATATCCTGGGAAATTGGTCACATTGCACTAAGCTCCATGATGTAAGATGGTTGCAGTGCTGTTTGCACAGTCTACTAACTCCCATTAGTATTTACTCAATTCACCCCATGAACATTTCCAGAGAGTCAAAAGGCCTGGGGAAGGGGTGGCCTCCTCCCTTATGCTGGCACCTGGCAAAGGACTAGGGACAGAGGAGGCCACCTCCTCCTGCAAGTGGAATATACCAGAGGGCCCAGATTTGGCTCCTGTCTTAGGGAGGTCTCAGTAGCCATGCCAGACCTGTGGGATACTGTTTTCAGTACCCAGATAATGGGAGCTGGGTACAAAGGTCCACAGGATCAGGATCTGTGAGATCTTCTATTTCCAGGAAAGCCAACCAGGTAGCCAGTCATTTGTTGTTTCTATGGTATGTGACATGAAGCCAAGAGGGACAATTTTGTGATTTTGTTTTATTTTGTTTTATCAGAAGCCCCAGGGAAATTGATGACCACCCCATAAATGGTTTAGATACTCCAGAGAACTTGCCAATGACTCTCCAGTAAAGAAGTTTCTGAGGCACAGGAGTGCCTGTTGATTTTAATTTGTAAATAAATTTTTGTAAATGAAGATATGTTGGAACTAGAAAACCCAGTACTGTATACTAAGAAATATCAGACTTCTGTGTTCTTAATGAGTTTGTCAAACGATTCTTTCTGGAGGAGGATTTCCTCAAAGTAATGTCATACCTATGTTCCTGCAGAAAGGTGAATATCTTCAAGATCTTGCCTGTAAAGACTGTGTGTGATGACAAAGTTTTTTATTGCAGCATTGTTCACAATAGTAAAGACTTGAAACCGACCCAAATGCCCAGCAATTATAGACTGGTTAAAAAAATGTGACACATATACAACATGGAATACTATGCATGTTGTATAAAAAATATGAGTTCATGTCCTTTGCAGGAACATGGATGAAGCTGGAAACTATCATTCTCAGCAAACTGACAAGAACAGGAAATCAAACACCACATGTTCTCACTCATAAGTGCATGTTGAACAATGAGAACACACAGACACCGGGAGGGGAACATCATGCACTGGGGCCTGGGGGTGGGGGGCTGGGGAGGAATAGCAGGGGGTGAGGGGATTGGGGAGGGATAGCTTTAGGAAAAATACCTAATGTGGATCATGGGGTGATGGATGCAGCAAACCACTACCATGGCTTGTAACAAACCTGCACAACTTGCACATGTATCCGGAACTAAAGTATAATAAATAAATAAATGAAATTGTGGCGACATTGTGAGTATCCCACATAAGGAAGAGGCTTATTGTGACCCTGCAGACCTTCAGAGGTTGATGCAAACTTTGGCTGAGAGGTTGCCAAAATATACACTGAACAGAGCATGTTAGGCAATCAAGAAGAGCAAATACTTACTGGTTACTGATTGAATAGAATCTGTAATTTTGTTTTAAGACGGGGTATCCCTTTGTCACCCAGGCTAGAGTGCAGTGTCATCATCATAGCTTACCACAACTTTGAACTCTTGGATTCAAACCATCCTCTTGCCTCAGCCTCCTGAGGAGTTATATTACCACACCTGGCTAGTGCGTGGGGTAAGGGGGTTGGTGGGAAATAGAGTCTTGCTATGTTTCCCAGGCTGGTCTCAAACTCCTGGCATCAAACAATCTTCCTTGTCCTCCCAAAGCACTGGGATTATAGGTGTGAGTCACTGCAACTGGCCAAAATCGGTAATTTTAATAACATTGGATACTGGGTATGGGAGCCTTGGAGGAGAGACTATGGCATTAAGACTGTAGTAATCCATCATGAAGTCTTTTCATTCATTGTTTTTAGATTTAAGAACAGGCAAAATTAGCCTGCCAAGTGGAGAAGCAGTGGGGAGAATCTCCCCTTTATTGATTAGTGTTTATATAGTCAATTTTAATCCTTGAGGCCCTATTTTAATTTACATTGTGTCATATTAACTATTTCAACTGTTGGTTAATGAAGTCTTATTTTATCAAGCCAATTTTCAAGTGTTAAAGACTTGCTAATTTTAATTTACTATGTAGGATGTTAGAGTGTTTATGCTCAATAAGGAATTATTTTAAGCAATGGATACCATGTCTATGAGAAATTTCTGAAAGGTTACCAGTTAAAATGAGGCATACTCTTTTTATTCTATTTTATATTTAGGTGCTTTCTTAAGATTATAGTGTTTAAACTTAGTGGGATCCCCAGATATAATTGTTATTTAAGCCCCAGTGTTGATTTAGTTTGTGAATTTTTGTTAATTGGTGCATTTTTAGTAATTATTAAAGTTAGGTTCCAATCTATGCCATTGAGGTACAAGAGCCAATCAGTCTCTTTTTTAAAAGCTTTTTGTTATAGAAACCCTTTAGTATATGAATTTTAGCCTCCCAGTTGAGTCAAATTATAGAAATTTGTCTTAATTAAGCTATATAATATATTAACATACATAAATTGTCTATTTTATATGCTCATATTAAAAATATATGTATATATATAATTTATTTGATAACCTTTTATTTCCCCACTGTATTTAGGGGTTTGCTTCTAAATCAGTAAGTAATCTAGAATTAGTTTTGTATTTGCTAG